TTCTGGAGACCCAATTTCACACTATTTTATGAAATAATTGTGCTGGCTAGAGTGACTGACAGACTTACCAGCAAGTTGCTCTCAAGTTCTTGTTTTCTTTTTTATAGAGATGGCATCTCACTTCATTGCTCAGGCTGGTCTTGAACTCCTGGTGTCGAGGGATCCTCCCACCTCAGCCTCCCAAAGTGCTAGGATTACAGGCTGGCCTCAAATATAACATAATCAATGATTATTGTTTTATGTCACTGAGTTTTGTAGTGATCTGTTACAAGACAGTAGATAATACATACGACTAAAAACCTAGGCATCATCCTTGACTCCTCTTTCTCTTATATCCCACATCTGCCAGCAAATTATATTGATTTTACCTTCAAAATATATCCAGAATCTACTTCCCACCACCTCCACCACTACCACTTTGGTATGAACCTTCTAACTGTACTGCTTCTAACCTTGAATCTCCACGATTTATTTTTAAACAGCAGCCAGTGTTCTGTAAAAAGGCAAGTCAGATTATGTTAGTCCTCTGCTAAAAACCCTGCAGTGGTTATCCAATTTCCTCAGAACAAAAAACCCAAAGTCCTTCTAAGTCTTTCAAGCCCCTGCGTGAGTTGCTCCCACTGCACTACCTCTCTGAACGTGTCTCCTGTACTTCTGCCCTAATTTATAGCCCTCTGGCTGCAGTGGCCTTCACTACTCTTCACCTGTACCAGGCATGTTCCTACCTAAGGCTTTTGCCCTCTGCCTGGAATATTCTTTACTTGGATCCTGCATTGTGCAATCCCACCACCTCCTCCAAGTTATTGCTCAAGTCTGATTTCCCAATGAAGCCTACCACCTCTGTAATTTCTACATGTCCATCTCTCTGACCCCCCCCCTTTTTTTTTTTTTTTTTTTTTTTTTTTTGAGACAGAGTCTCACTCTGTCATCAGGCTGCAAGATCTTGGCTCACTGAAACCTATACCTCCTGGATTCAAGTGATTCTCGTGCCTCAGCCTCCCGAATAGCTGCCACCATGCCTGGCTAATTTTTGTATTTTCAGTACAGATAGGGTTTCGCTGTGTTGCCCAGGCTGCCCTTGAATTCCTGACCTCAGGTGATCCACCTGCCTCAGCTTCCAACTCTCTGAACTTCCGATGCCAATTATCCTACTCTATTTCATAGCCCTTACACTCTAACAATACTATGCAATTTACTTATTATGCTTATTATTTAGTTTTTCTCCCTCTGCTAGAATTTAAGCGCTATGAGGGCAGTGATTTTTGTGTTTTGTTCACTGATATACCCACACATGCCTAAAGTGGGCACATTGTAGGTGCTCAATAAATGAATACTCTATTTTACTCAAAACTGTACATGCAGAACTCTTAGCAAGCTCTTGTTCTAGACACATAATTTAATATAAGCCTGACAAAATGTCAACTGAACATTAAGTATAGCATGAAAACAGAGCTGCTGCTCCTGAAAGGGCTGCACTGGTACAAAGGTAAAAATCTCAGGGCCAGGTGCAATGGTTCATACCTGTAGTCCCAGCACTTCAGGAGGCCAAGGCAGGTGGATCACCTGAGGTCAGGAGTTCGAGACCAGCCTGGCCAACATGGTGAAACCCCATGCCTGCTAAAAATAAAAAAAAATTAGCCAGGCTTGGTGGTGCATGCCTATAATCCTGGCTACTCAGGAGGCTGAGGCGGGAAAATCACTTGAACCCAGGAGACAGAGTTTGCAGTGACCTAAGATCATGCCACAGTACTTACTCCAGACTGGGCAAAAAGAGTGAAACTCCATTTCAAAAAAAAAAAAAAATTTCTTCAACAACTTGTGTGGATTGATGACCAGATAGGCCCTGTTCTCCAGCACTTTGGCCTCAAGAATGTGGCAGAAATTAGTGTGGGCGGGGGTGGCGTATGCAGGGAGAGAAATCCAAAGGAAGACTCAGAATACTTTTTTTTTCCATTCCGGTGGAATAAGGCTCAGAGTAAGTATGAGGTTTTATTATACAAAATTAACTTCTATTAATTGCAGACCTGGGTTTGCATGCTAAGAATCATACCTGCATATTCGGATTCTTTACCGAAAAGAACTATTCTATCCTTCCAGAAAGTGATGTCCTAAATCCTGGATTCTGATCTAATCTCCATGGATCAAATGCCTCGTCTAAATTTCTTCCATTATTTTGCCAGAACCTTTTCTGTCTGTGGGCTTGTTTCCTAATCTGTAAAATGAGTGTCAAGGGTGGATATATGCTCAGGCCACGCACGGTGGCTCATTCCTGTAATCCCGGCACTTTGGGTGGCAGAAGTGTGTGGATCACTTGAGCCCAGGAGTTCAAGACCAGCCTGGGCTACATTTGAAACCCTGTCTCTATCACAAAAATACACACACACACACACACACACACACACACACACACACTGGCCAGGCATGGTGGCATGCATCTCTAGTCCCAGCTACTAAGGAGGCTATGGTGGAAGATCACATGAACCCAGGAAGCTGAGGTTGCAGTGAGCCAAGATTATGTCAGTGCACTCCACCCTAGGCTACAGAGCGAGACCCTGTCTCAGAAAAAGAAAAAAAAAAGTGAATATATGCTCTGTGGAGGCTGAAACATATACAATTGTGGGGCTCTAAAATTATGTAATAAATTCAATATTTATTTAGAGTAAATAAATGTATATAACAAAGAATTAAATGATATAATAAAGTCAATATTGAGAATGAGAAGAATCATTGTAGATTTTGAAATACTGACAAAAACCACAGACATCACAAAATCCAGAAAAATAATATTAATAACTGCCTAGCAACAATGGCTGTAAGTCTTCACCCTGTCTTGCATTTTTCGCTTGCTGCAGTCTTTGCAACTAAATGACCATTTTGCACTGTTTTTATAGAGATGTTAGAAAGCTAAATTAGTCAAAAATAGATTTTAAAAAATTGATAGTCTCGAAACTTTGTATTATCAGCTTTGCAACTCCTTATATCTTGTACCGGTGGTGCTTCTTGCTGAGGAAAAGCCCTGGGGAGAATTCCAGCCCTTTGATCTCCCTTGGCTTGGTCTCCAAAGGGGCTGCTAAAACAACTCTGTCTGGTAGTCACTGCCCTTGTCTTCCGGCCTGCCTACCCCAGTCCACCCTCAACTGCCACTTGGCCTGAGAGAGTGACCTCCGTGCTGGGGTCCAAGGGTCCGATGAAGGAGATGAAGGACTGGTAATATTTTTTTTCTCTCCATTCTGGTGGAATGAGGTTCAGAGTAAATATTAGGTTGTAATATAGCAAATATCAGGTTGTATTATGGAAAATTACCTTTTTTTTTGAGTCGGAGTCTCACTTTTTTACCCAGACTGGAGTGCAGTGGTGAGATCTCGGCTCACTGCACCCTCCACCCCCAAGGTTCAAGAGATTCTCCTGCCTCAGCCTCCTGAGTAGCTGGGATTACAGGCATGCCCCACCACGCCCAGCTAATTTTTAAAATTTTTAATAGAGGTGGGTTTTTTTTGTTTTTGTGTTTGAGACGGAGTTTCACTCTTGCTGACCAGGCTGGGGTGCAATGGTACGATCTCAGCTCACTGCAACCTCCGCCTCCTGGGTTCAAGAGATTCTCCTGCCTCAGCCTCCCGAGTAGCTGGGATTACAGGCGCCTGCCACCACGCCTGGCTAATTTTTGTATTTTAGTAGAGACAGGGTTTCACTATGTTGGTCAGGCTGGTCTGGAACTCCTGACCTCAGGTGATCTGCTCACCTCGGCCTCCCAAAGTGCCGGGATTACAGGCGTGAGACACCGCACCCGACCTAGGGACGGAGTTTTACCATGTTGGCCAGGCTGGTCTCCAACTCGTGGCCTCAAGTGATCCGCCCACCTCAGCATCCCAAAGTGCTAAGGCACCGCGTAAGCCACCGCGGCCGGCCGAAAAGTAACAACTATTAATTGAATACCTGGGTTTGCGTACTGAGAATCATACTCTGGATATTTGTATTATTTACTGAAAAGAACTGTTCTGTCTTTCCAGAAAGTGATTTCCTAAATTCTGTATTTCCTCCCATTCTGGAATCCTGCTATTTCCTTCTCTCATACTCTGGAGAAGTCGCAGAGGTTTCAAAGGTGCTCTGAAGCTTAAGCTCGTCTAGTTTCACAGTAGATTGCCCCCTGCGAGGGCACCTTTTTTATGTGTTCTCTGAATCTACCCCTTTAACATTCCATGACAAGCCTAAAGCCAGAATCCCGAGACTGCGATGGTACCCCTTCACGAGTCGTGGGGTTGTCCCGGGCGGGGCCTGCTCATTTTCACTTTCTCCACTAGAGGCAGCAGCGCACTGTGACCCTGGCTTACTAAGGTAAGAAGGCGGAGACCGTTTGCTTCGTCGGCGGTTGGTGACCAGAGTCTTGATTGACAAGCTCAGGCCTCTGAACTACAACCGTTGTTTATGCACGTACAGCCAATAGAAAGCAGAAGTGCGGCCAACGGCCAATGAGGACTGGTCTTAGGCGGAGCACAGGGAGGGGCTTCCTTCGCGGGGCGGACGCAGGGTAAAGGGTCGGGAGCGTACGTGGGCGAGTCAGACTGCTTCCGGTATTAGAAGTGCTGGTAGGCCTTGGAGAGGCGCGTTGGGAAGGTACGTCTGAAGCTAAGACTGGGCGAACTGGGAGTGAGAAATGGAACGGGAATTAGCAGTTACTGTTTGAGCAAGAGTGGGAGCAGCTTCTGTCTGCGGACAAATGGCACCCTGAGGGAACGGGGCCCTGCTCGGAGACCAGACTCAGGAAAACTGGGCGGGGAGGGAAGCCGGGGAGCTGGTGCTACGCATGCGCAACAGTGCTGGAGCGGGGGTGGGGTGGAGGCGAGTCTGCGGGGTTTTGCGGGGCGTCTAGGCCCCTGTTCTGCGCCAGAGCGCTGGCGTAGGCCGCTTCTCACCCCGCCTTTCCTTCCTGCTGCTCCGCATTCCTCCTGTCTTCCTGCGCTGTGTAGACGCAGGGCCCCTTGGCCCAGCCTCGATCGCCTAAATTCAGAGCACGTCCTTCCGAAGTGAGGGAAAGCGAAACGCCACCCAACCGATTGCTGTTCCGCTGCGGCCGGGTCCTCGGATCGCGTCAGGCCTGGGTGAGCGGTCAGTAGCCGAGACTCGAGGTAGGCCCTGGTCGGGCGGACTGCCCTGTCACGGCAGGGCGGTGATGTCACACTCTTCTGTGACACGCGAGGCTCCTTAGTTCTTAGCCAACGGCAGAGGCGAGAGGAAGCTGGGGCTGGGGCTACCTTCGCAGGCCCACGGGGCGGCCCCAGCTCTGTTGCGCTTGGTTACCTTTGGGCAGGTGAGGTGGCTTTGCTTTGTTTGGTCTTGGGCCTTGTGGGCGTCTTTCTCAGCCTGCTCAGGAAGGGCGTCGTTGGGCAGCTGTTTTTATCCTGGACCTACTTGTTGGACCTGTGGTAATAAGTAGGCTTTGGTATTTACTAAGTGTAGAATTGCTACCCGTTGCTAGCCCGGGCTGGCTGGGGTCATCAGCCTTTCATTGACCACTCCCACACCAAAAACCACTATGAACTTGAGACTGTGTTCTAGCAACCTGTGAATGTGTAACTTAGTAGAAGGGCTGACTGTGCCTGAAAAAGACAAGGATTTTAAGGTTAAAGGTAAATGGCAAATGGGCTTTTCTAGTTACTTATTGATATTTATTTATAGATTATCTTTCATCTGTGTGCTTTAAGAATTTAATTCAGGAAAGATTATCGCAATTGCATAAACACATTTCTTTTCTTTGAGACGGGGTTTCGCTCTTGTTGCCCAGGCTGGAGTGCAGTGGCGCGATCTCGGCTCACTGCAACCTCTGCCTTCCAGTTTCAAGCGGTTCTCCTGCCTCAGCCTCCCGAATAGCTGTCGTGCGCCACCACACCTGGCTAATTTTTGTATTTTTAGTAGAGACAAGGTTTCACCATGTTGGCCAGGCTGATTCCGAACTCCTGACCTCATGATCCGCCCACCTCGGTCTCTCAAAGTGCTGGGATTAACACATTTCTTATGGCCTGCGTTATACACACTTATTTCTGTAATTATTATTTTCCCAAGACAGAGTTTCACTCTTACTGCCCATTCTGGAGTGCAGTGGCGCAATTTCGGCTCACTGTAACCTCCACCTCCCGGGTTCAAGCGATTCTCCTGTCTCAGGCTCCGGAGTAGCTGGGATTACAGGCGCCCGCCACCACGCTCAGCTAAATTTTTTTGTATTTTTAGTAGAGACGGGGTTTCATCATGTTGGCCAGGCTGGTCTCGAACTCTTGACTTCAGCTGATCTGCCCGCCTTGGCCTCCCAAAGTGCTGGGATTACAGGTGTGAGCCACCGCGCTGGGCTATTTCTGTAATTATTGTTTTTACACTGTTCGGTGTTTTCTTATTCCTTTTTGTCTAGTATTTTCTGTTCTGCCTTAAAGAGAATATATTGACATTTAGATTCTCTGCCGCATTCTTCCAGTAGGGACAGAACAGTTGAACCCTTGAGAAATGCAATCTGTAATTTGGATCCAGAGTTTCCTTCTTCCATTTTTAAAAAAAAATCTGGTTGTGGAAACATGGCTTAGTACCACCTTCCTCCTTTTTTTGGGGGTGGGGGGCATAGTCTCACTGTCGCCCAGGCTAGAGTGCAATGGCACAATCATGGCTCACTTAAATCTCAACCTCCCCTGGCTTAGATGATCCTCCCACCCGAGCCTCCTGAGTAGCTAGGACCACAGGTGGGTATCACCAACCCCAGCTAATGTTTGTACTTTTTTGTGGAGATGGAGTTTCACCATGTTACCCTGGCTGGTCTCCAACTCCTGGACTCAAGCGATTTATTTATTTTTTTATTAATATTTTATGAGACAGAGTCTCCCTCCCTCACCTAGGCTGGAGTGCAGTGGCGCAATCTCGGATCACTGCAACCTCTGCCTCCCAGGTTCATGCAGTTCTCATGCCTCAGACTCCTGCATAGCTGGAATTACAGGTGCATGCCACCATGCCCAGCTAATTTTTTTATTTTTAGTAGAGATGGGCTTTTGCCACGTTGGCCAGGCTGGTCTTGAGCTCTGGACCTCAAGCGATTTGTCTGTTTCAACCTGCCAAAGTCCTGGGACTACAGATGTAATCCTTTCCTAAAGAATAAGAATCAGCTCTCCTAAAGAATAAGAAAAGGCATTAAAAAATTAGCTGGGCATGGTGACGCCCGCCTGTAAGCTGAGGCAGCAGAATTACTTGAACCTGGGAGGCAGAGGTTGCAGTGAGTTGAGATCGGATCTCTGCCTGAGGAATAAGTCAGCGTAAAATTAATCCAGATACTTAGCATTTTCAAGTTCTTTTCTTTATGAACTACAACTTTATAGATGTAGTTCATGCTCTTTATACAAATGCTGAAAAATACAGAAAAATGTATTAGGAATCAGTGTATGTTTTGTTTTTGTTTTTGTTTTTTTAAGATTTGTTGTCTGGGCCCTGTGACTCACGACTGTAATCCCAGCACTTTGGGAGGCTGAGGCCGGCAGATCACGAGGTCAGGAGCTTTAGAGCAGCCTGGCCAACATAGTGAAACCCTGTCTGTACTCAAAAAAATTAGCCTGGTGTGGTGGTGTGTGCCTTGTAATCTCAGCTACTCAGGAGGGTGAGGCAGGAGAATCACTGGAACCTGGGAGGTGGAGATTGCAATGAGCAGAGATCAGAGGTTGCAATGAGCTGGCTGATTTTTGTATTTTTAATTTCACCATGTTGGTCAGGTTGGTCTCAAACTCCTGACCTCGTGATCCACCCTCCTCGGCCTCCCAAAGTGCTAGGATTGCAGACGGAGCCACCATGCCCGATCTCTTGCCACTATTACACTGTTTGTTTGTTATTTTAACTTGAAAGAGATATTTAAAGTGGGACTAATCTTGCCATTTCCTGCTGGGTTGATGTGTGAGAATTAAAGAGGATATGTACATAAAAGCACCTTAAAAGTTATAAATTTTATATAAATGTAGTCAGAAGTATTAGTGTAGAAGTACTACTGGCCTGAAGAGTTTCATTTTATTTCGTGAACTGCCCGAGGGTATTAATTTCCTCTAGGGAAAACCACTGAATATTCTGATGCTCTGGTTTCAAATTTTTTTTCTTTACTACTTTGACCTGGCTGTACAGTTTGGTAGAAGTGTCTTCTACCACCACTGTGTTTTATTCCCCCAGAGTTTCCAACCAAACTGCATGCAGCCCTTCTTTGTTTTTATGTTACACACATTTTGTTTTCCAAAGATGGTGTTTGAGACCAAGGAGAGAAAGGCTGTCTCCTTGACTTTAAGGTTACTTGAGTGACCCTTTGAGGTACGTTCTACTCTGAGCCAGCTGGGCAATGTTGATTTGAGGCCGCAGCACTCTTGATCTGGTAGTAATAGGGTCTAAATTTGTTCTAGAGACTCTGTAGTCCTTAAAGCTTGGGGATAGCTGAGCTGAACCACATGCAAGCTCTGTCCTCAGGGTGAGAAGTTCCTGCACAAATAACTGGAATCCAAAACACTTGAAAAAAGAGCTTCAGGAGTGAGGGTGAAGTGAGTGTGCTGTTTGTCTTAATCTATGTGTGCTCCCATGTGGGCTAAATACGGTGTTATTGGGGAGGGATTACTGGTTTATGCTGGAAGAAGATTATGTATTTAGGATATTGGGGGCTTCTTAGGATTCAATATCTGTCAAACAGTTGTTATAGAGAGGGAGATTCAGTAGTGTCAAAGTTTGGTACAAAAAATAATTTACTGAAGGCAGTAGGAATTTCATCTCCAGTTATTGGTTTGGTTTTGAGGCAGCTCCCTAGAGAGATGGATTCAGTATTAGCTAATCCAGGGGTTTTGGTCCAAGTTAAGGCAGAGGCTGGGACATCTAGGGTGTCTGTCTGGGAAGACCAAAGGTCAGCCCTTGTTGAAAGGCAGTTCCTTGGATTGTTCCTAAACTGAACTGACCTACCTCCTGGGAGAGGCAGGGAAGTCATCAAACTTGTGCATTTACCATCAAATCCTTTACCATATCAGATTATTACTTAGTGGTTATTAGCCTGTCTCAAAATGCCCATAGCCCTGTGGGACAAGAGAGATGGTATAAATGTGCTGGAGGAGAGGTGTGCCATTAAACAAAAGTACAGACAGTTCCCAATTTATGATGGTTTGACTTAATGATTTCTTACTTTATAATGATAGAAAATTGCTACCTGTTCATTAGAAACTGTACTTCAGGCTGGGCATGGTGGCTCATGCCTGTAACCTCAGCTCTTTGGGAGGCCAAGGTCGGGGGATCAGTTGAGGTCAGGAGTTCGAGACCAGCCTAGCCAACATGGTGAAACCTTGTCTCTACTAAAAATACAAAAAAAAGCCGGGCATAGTGGCACAAACCTGTAGTCCCAGCTGCTTGGGAGGCAGAGGTTGCATTTGGCAGAGATCATGCCATTGCACTCCAGCCTAGGGGACAGAACGAGACTCTGTCTCAAAAAAAAAAAAAAAGAAAAAGGAAAAAAAAAACTACTTCAAATTTTGAATTTCCATCTTTTACCAGGCTAAGCACATGTGGTATGATGCTCTTACATGAGATATTCAACACTTTATTATAAAGTAGACTTTGTGTTAGATGGTTTTGTCCAACTTCAGACTAATGTGTTCTGAGCACATTTAAGGTAAGGTAGGCTAGGCTTAAGCCATAATGTTTGGTAGGTTATGTGTAGTAAATGCATAAATTACGATATTTTCAGTTTACAATGGGATTATTGAGGTGTAACTCCATTGTGAATCAAGCATCTGTACTTTTAACCAATAATGAGATTTTTTTCAAGTGCCTTTACATTTCAGTTTATAATTTTCTTAAACACCACCATCCCCTTCCAAATTAATGGAGTGATTTTTTTTTCTTTTTCTTTTTTTTTTTTTTTTTTGAGGCAGAGTCTCCCTCCCTCACCCAGGCTGGAGTGTAGTGGTACACTCTTGACTCATTGCAACCTTCGTCCCCCAGGGTTCACACAGTTCTCATGCCTCAGCCTCCTGAGTAGCTGGAATTACAGGCATGTGCCACCACACCCAGCTAATTTTTGTATTTTTAGTAGAGACAGGCTTTTACCATGTTGGCCAGGCTGGTGTCAAACTCCTGACCTCAAGTG